AGTAGGAGAGAAATAACAAAGATCAAAGCAGAAATAAATGAATTAGAGATTAAAAAAATACAAACGATCAATGAAACAAAGAGTTTGTTTTTCAAAAAGAAAGAATCAATAAACCTTTAGTCTGATGAAGAAAAAAAGAAAGAAGACTCAAATAAATAAAATCAGAAATGAAAAGGGGACATTCCAACTGATACCACAGAAATCCAAAGGATCATAAGAGACTACTACGAATAACTATATGCAAACAAACCGGAAAACCTAGAAGAAATGGATAAATTCCTGGACACATACAACTTACCAAAGTTGAATCATGAAGAAATAGAAAACTTAAACGGATCAACAATGAGTAATGAGATTGAAGCAGTAATAAAAGGTCTTTCAACAAAGAAAACCTCAGGACTAGGTGGCTTTACTGACAAATTCTACCAAACATTCGAAGAAGAAATAATACCAACTCTTCTCAAACTCTTCCAAAAAAACTGAAGAGAAGGGAACACTTCCAAACTCATCCTACGAGACCAGCCTTACCCTCATAAGAAAACCAGAAAAAACACAAGAAAAGAAAACTACAGACCAATAGCCCTCATGAACACAGACATGAAGATCCTCCACAAAATACTAGCAAACAGAATCCAGCAACACATTAAAAAGGTCATACACCATCATCAAGTGGGATTCATCCCAGGGATGCAATGATGGTTCAACATATGCAAATCTATAAATGTGATACATCACATCAACAGAATGAAGGAAAAAAAAAAAACCCATATGATTGTTTCAATAGATACATAAAAAGCATTTGATAAAATCCAACACCCCTTCATGATAAAAACTCCCCACAAATTAGGTACAGAAGGAATGTACCACAACACAATAAAGACCACATACAACAAACCCACAGCTAATATCATACTGAATGGACAAAAATTGGAGGCTTTTCTTCTAAGAACTGGAACAAGACAAAGATGCCCACTTTCCCCACTCTTACTCAACTTAGTATTAGAAGTTCTAATCTGTGCAATATGGCAAGAGAAAGCAATAAAGGGCATTCAAATTGGAAAGGAGGAAGTCAAATTATTGCTATTTGCAGATGACATAATTCTATACATAGAAAACCCTAAAGATTCCACCAAAAAAAATCACTGGAAGTAATAAATTAATTCAGTAAAGTGGCAAGATAAAAAACACCACACAAAAATCAATAGTCTTCCTACACGTCAACAACAAAACAGCCGAAGAAGAAATCAAGAAAGTAATCCCATTCACATTAGCTACCAAAAAAAAATGAAATACCTAGGAGTAAGTTTAACAGAGGTGGTGAAGGACCTCTACAAAGAAAACTATAAAACTATGATGAAAAAAATTGAAGAGAACATAAATAAAGGAAAGATATCCCGTGTTCATGGGTCAGAAGAATAACATCATCAAAACATCCATATTACCCAAAGCAATCTACATATTCAACCATCCTATCAAAATCCCTATCAAAATACCAATGACAATTTTTTACAAAAATAGAAAAATGATCTTAAAACTTGTATGGAACCACAAAAGATCCCATACAGTGAAAGCAATCTTGAACAAAAAGAACAAAGTTGGAGGCATCACGCTTCATGACTTCAAAATATATTATAAAGCTATGGTAACCAAAACAGCATGGTACTGGCATAAAAACAGAGAAATTGATGGATGGAATAGAATAAACAGGCACATAATAAACCCATGCACTTACAGCCAACTGATTTTCGACAAAGGTGCCAAAAAAAATACAATAGGGAAAGGACAGCTTCTTCAACAAGTGGTGTTGGGATACTGACATGCAGAAGATTGAACCTAGACCCCTATCTCTCAGCATACACAAAAATCAACTCGAAATGGATCAAAGGTCTAAATTTAAGACCTTGAAACTATGAAATTACTAGATGAAAAAATAGGAGAAAAAATACATGAAATTGGAGTGGTCACCTCTTTTTTGAGTGAAACTACAAAGGCACAGGCAACTAAAGCAAAAAGTATATAAATGGGACTACAAGAAACTAAAAAGCTTCTGCACAGTAAAGGACACTGTCAACAAAGTGAATAGACAACCTAAAGAATGGAAGAAAGTGTTTGCCAACCACACATCAGACAAGGGACTGATATCCATAATATATAAGAAATTTTAGGTGGCCGGCCCGGTGGCGCACTGCTACAGTGCGCCGCTTGGGAGTGTGGCGGCGCTCCCGCCGAGGGTTCGGATCCCACATACAGACCGGTTCCCGCTCACTGGCTGAGCAAGGTGCGTGTGCAGCACTGAGGGTTGCGATCCCGTTGCCGGACACGAAAAAAGACAAAAAGGAAAAAAAAAAAAAAAAAAAAAAGAAAGAAATTTTAATGACCCAACAGCAAAAAAACAACCCAATTAAAAATGGGCAAAGTACGTGAACAGACATTTTTCAAAAGAATACATACAAATGGCCAAAAGGCACATGAAAACATGCTCAACATCATTAATCATTGGGGAAATGCAAATTAAAACCATAATGAGATATTATTTTATTCCAGTTAGAATGGTTATCATCAAGACGAAAAATAACAAATGCTGGCAAGGATGTAGAAAAAAAGGAACTCTTTCCACCAGCAATGTACAGCTATTTGGAAAACAGTTTGCAGGTTCCTCAGAGAACTAAAAACAGATCTACTCTATGATCCAGTTATCTCACTACTGAGTATATATGCACAGGAAATGAAATCAATATATCAAAAAGACACCCAATATATCAAAATAGTCCCATGTTCATCACAGCACTATTCACAATAGCCAAGAGATGGAATCAACTTAAATGCCCATCAATAGATGAATAGATAAAAAATTGTATATATATATACATACACACAATGGAATACTATTCAGCTATTTTAAAAAATGATATTCTAGGGCCGACCCATGGCTCACTTGGGAGAGTGTGGTGCTGATAACACCAAGGCCACAGGTTTGGATCCCTATGTCGGGATGGCCGGTTAGCTCACTTGGGAGAGCGTGATGTTGACCACACCAAGTCAAGGATTAAGATACCCTTACCGGTCATCTTAAAAAAAAAAACAAACCACAAAATTATTCTATCTACCCTAAATGAATCACTGTGCAGTATATGCATGTATTAAAACAACACACTGTACCCCACAAATACGTAGAAATAAATGTTAAAGAAAAAAAAGAAAAGAAAATAAATCTTCCCCCAAAACAATGTTCTTTCTAGGGTGATAAAAATGTTCTATATTTTGGCCGGCCCGGAGGCACACTGCTACAGTGCGCCACTTGGGAGTGCGGTTGCGCTCCCGCCGAGGGTTCGGATCCCACATACAGACCGGTTCCCACTCACTGGCTGAGCGAGGTGTGGGAGCAACACTGAGGGTTGCGATCCCGTTGCCGGTCCAGGTCCAGTACGGGCACGACACTGAGGGTTGCGATCCATTGCCGGACACGAAAAAAAAAAAAGTTCTATATTTTGGAGTCATGATTACATGAAAATATATATTTGTCAAAACTCATTAAACTGTATACTTCAAAGGTGTATTTACTGTTTGTATAATATAATCGGCTCTCCATATCTGTGAGTTCCACATCCATAGATTCAACGAATTGAGGTTTGAAAATATTCAGGAAAAAAACACTCCATCTGTACTGAACATGTACAGACCTTTTGTTTTTGTTTTTTGGTGGCTGGCCTGACACTTCTTTTTCTTGTCATTATTCCCTAAACAATACAGTATAACAACTACTTACATAGCTTTTACATTGTATTCAGTATTATAAGTAATCTGGAGATAATTTAAAATATACAGGAGGAATTGTAAATTACAGGTTAATTAATTTCAGGTTTATATGCAAATATCCATGCCATTTTATATCAGGGAGAACCTCCAATTCCATCCCAACACTACAGGGTTCTTTCTAGTTTTCTCTGCTTATTTGTAAATCTCTTCTCTGACAGTTAGAAACTTCATTATCTTAAATGCATTTACTTATTTGATCAATCTTCATCATATGTAACATTCTCCCATCTTCACTACAACCTCTCCCCCATGTAGATGACTTCTTCACCATAATTTGGCTTTGACAACCCCCTCCAGACCAAACCCTGTCCCCACCATGCTGGCACCTCCCTCATCCAGATCAAACTCTGACATCCCATTTGCAGTGCACCACCCCCCTCAACCCCGCATGGGGACACTCTCCTCACCCTGCTCAGACTCGACACTCCATATTGTCCTCACCTCTGTATGAATACTGTTCTCATCCTGTTTAGGTTCTGACACCCTGCAGCAATTTACTCCCAAGCATGGACACCCTCTTTATCCTGCTTTTCCTTGGATTCTCCATGCTAGGCCATGCCTCTGTATGGATGCTCTCCTCACCTGGCATGGGCTCCAATGCTAGGCTGGCTCCTCCTTCCTTGCCCTATTCAGGTTTGACACTTCTCTCTGGGCCACCGTTCCCCTACCTCCTCTCTCTCCAGCATGGATACCTACCTTGCTCTGTACCACCTAATGATATTAGGACTGAAGTGGAAGGTTTCATACATGGACTTAAAATAGTAGAATTAATTTAAGCTACCAATTCCTCAATTGTAGAAATATTCAGGTGAAGTGTCTATTATGCTTTATACCTCCTCTCAGCATGTAACAATCCACCTCAGACAAAAAGAAGAGGTGAAAATTAAGGATGCTCAAGTTGGAGCTCCATAGGCTTAGGAAAAATTCCTAGTCTATAGATGGGCAGGAAAGGTTAGAAATCTGATTGCTAAAATAAAACTCATGATTTAGTAAAATCCTGCAAGGTACTTCTAAAAGGTGTGCTCTATAATTTCTAGCAGGCCACCAAAACTTTCATTATAGGTGGTCAACAATGAAAACTGAATTAAGATTTTGTTAAAAGCTATAAACAGAAACTATAACTCATGACATTTACAGCAGTCACACAAAATAAGTTAGGGCACTACAGACATATTGTTACTTACTTTATCTACACAATCATCAAAAAATGCCAGGCTTGCATCTTTATCACTGACAAAAGAACATTCCTCAATGAAGCGAATAAACATTTGTGTTTTGGTCATCATGTTATAGAATTTTTGATGTGACCGGTCCCGGCTTCGTAAGAAAGCTGTTCAACATAAATACATAATTTCAGGATATATAATATCACTCGCAGATGCATAGAATTCTTGAGCTAGAAGGAACTTGATCAACCACATCATCTATACACCCCACACCTCCAGCATTTTGCATATCTGCAAGAGGGGAAATGACCTGACAAAGAAACAGGAAAGCAACAGGAAAGAAACATAAACCCAGATGTCTCAAATCTTCACCCAGAATTGTCTCCATTGTCCTCTTACTATCTTGAAGATTATACGTAAACTAGCAAACTTAAAAGTATTTTTAAAATTTCAATTTTTCCCCACATGCTTTCCATGCTATGTGTACATGCTTGCTTTTATGCTCTTTCTCCATATATATATATATATATAT